CCATACACTATACCTTAGGTAGGGAAAAATAATAGAATAAAAAAATTTAAAAACAATAAATTAAAGACTTTGTATGAGAGACTAGTTTGATAAAAATTAAACTGATTTGAGGGTTAATTTGTTCTTATTTAACTACAAGTACATGTTAAATAATTAGCATACTTTGCATATTAAATTAATTTGAGACTCAATTTGTTTTATAAATCTTAAAAAATTAATATGATAATTTAAGAAAATATAACGGATCAAATTCATAAAAATTAAACTTGAGAGGTGAAATCGACATCTGAATCAAACTTTTAGGACAAAAGTTTGGTTGTCCCAGAATATTCTTTATCTAATTTAGAGAAATGTTCTACTGGGGAGTTGGATAGAATGAAGCAAGTAAATTTCATTATTTCTAACATCAGCGAGATACTATGTTTGAATCCATTATTATCACATAAGCAACTGCTAACAAATTAATAAACTAAATTTCGTAGATTGATACTTGCATTCACTCTTCAAACATAATTTTTAAATAAATAATTAAAATTCACATTCCTCATACATCCAGATAAACACTATTTTTTTTAATTTTGTTGACAAATACAAACAAATTTTTAAGATAGCACAAATATATAGCCAGATTTATTCTCAAAAGTATTCTTTTCAGCTATTTGAATCTTCAAATATTGATTATTGACCCAATTAATTGGAATCATTTATTCACTAAAATCTATTTTATTTACTAATTATCTAAATAATAAAAAATTTATTATTGTATTATTGAATAAACCCTTTAATTTTATTAACATTTTTCTCTAGTTAGGTCTTTTTTTAAAAAAAGTAAATTAAAGTTTTGGTCCCCACAATACAATTAAATGCTTTAAGGTCTATTGACAATTGATCATAGCAAGATGATAGCTAAAGTTATTTTTTAGTAATTGTTAATAAACCTTATATTATCTGATTATGATGTAATGAGATTTGGGCTTAATTATCCTTTTTCTTGTGTTAGAATGTAGGCCTTTCTTTGTGCTTTGGTTTTACTATATAGAAAATGTAGTCATGATGAAGTTAAGTTGCTTTATATTTGCATATGGTACAATTTAATGATGTCCTGCAAAAAAGTAACTCTTTCCTTTTTCTAAGATGCATTTGAATTCATTTTTTTACATTTTATTAATGATTATATCCAAACAAAATTTTTATTAGTTTATGAATGATTGCCTTAATTTCCGCTACAGTAAAGTTCTAACAATCATTAACAAAAATATCCAGACATAATTCTAACAAAAACCAATTTCAACTAAATATTAATTTTCAAAAAAGTCATATGAGTCATCACTCTTACTAAAATAAATAAATATAATAATAATAATACTTTATAACTGTTGTCCAATATAAACACCAAGCAAGTGTAGCATCATTTTAGAATTTGATTCCTAGAGGTGTGTATGGTGAGCATCTTTCGGGAGATGACAACTTAAATGCCATTCAAATTTTTTGAAGGATTAGTCTCATGATTGATGATCGTGGAGATACATTGAGAAACTAAAAAAAAAATAATAATATACAAAAGAAATTTACTGATATTTTTCAGTAATTAACTTTTTATAATATTCTGAGATAATAATTAAAAATTAGTTGAGCAGATTAATGACCAATAAAATAATAAATAAAAAATTTCTTAGGTTATATATAATGTTTAATCAATTAGCAAACAATAATGGAAATTAAAATGCTCTTTGATTTCTTCAGAGGTCAAATAATTTATATATAAAAGTAATTTGATCAAGATATAATTGAAAGCCAACATGTTTTTCGCCACAATTTTATGTTATACCCACAAACCATCAAGCCCCTTTCCCATCATCTATCTTGGTTATTCTTCAATTCTTCCGAGAAAGGGGGGGAGGGAGAATTTGACAGCATTTTCTTGTATGATTAAAAAATGATATGATAATGTTTGATCCATGGATCCTACTAATCACACTTGTTTAAAGTCTCAACTTAATTCCTTGAAGGTTCCTAACAGTTTAGGTTGCATATGACGCGTATTACTATTATAAAAGGCAGTAGTGCCAACAAGGTCCATTTGACAAGGATTTGGCTTATAAATTTAAGGGATCAAATTCCATTGCCGAAGTGAGGATCTTGTTGGTAAGTAATTTGCATGTACCTTTGTAAGCGCCTTTTGAGCCTAAATGTATACCTGGCCCTAATGAGCCCTGAGTCTCAACTCATCTAAACTTTCATTCATAAAAAAATAATACAAGGCGAGAATAAAGTTTTGAAATAAAAAAATACAAAAAAGAAAAAGTTGAAAAGAGACCGAGGAAAAACAACAACGTGCCCCCACAGATTAAGAAAGTTTTGATCCCAAATTAATTAATTAAAGATGTTAAATCAAGAAGCAACTAATAATGCATAGGAGTTAGGATGCTTCGCGGAAGGCTCATAATGCAATTCAATTATTGTTCTCGTTTTTTTCCCCCCAAGAAAAGAAAAATTCATCAACCCACCAAATTAAGTTACAGTATATGAACAATGAACCAAAAAAAAAAAGTTTAGGGATTAGGGTTTTGAAAACCAAATCCAAACAGGCACAAACCCTTTAACAAATTCTTAAGTGCTCCAATAATGCTAGCTAAGTAACAAGATTCAGAAGGACATTAATTTGTATCCCGCCTTCTCTGCTCTTTAAAAAGCAATATTAAAAATTAATTGACTAGATCATATGTTTGAAAATTCTATGGGTTAAAGGACATTTGTGTGCTTTAAACTATTTCTAATGACTTTTTTGTCATCTAATGACTAAAGTTAACATTTGTTGTAGTAGGGTAACATTACTTTATTTTCAAAGTACTTACGTGAGAATTTTATTAGTGAGCGATCTAATGTAAGCGCTCTTAGATAAACCCCTGTAACCCAATTCTGAATTAGTTTTGAATAAACAAAAGATAATGTCATAATGGTCATCCTTTTTTTTTTTTTCCTATGCGGACACATAATGTCAAGGTCTAAGTCAATCCATATGCATCGAGAAAATGATACGTTAATAGAAGTAGTGGAATAAAAATAATTTTTATATATTTAAGTCTTTTTATTTTGAAAATTAAGGTTGCGCAAACAACATGGCAAAATCATAGAAGTCTGGGCTTTTTTAGTCGGTGTCCGCATTTTTTCTTGAGTCAAACCTTCTTAAGTACTCATATCTTGGGGAAAGTGACACAATAATGAGGTTTTGTTTTGGTCCTACAGTAGATCCTATGTTGGAAATTGAGTAGTCTGTGTATATGATTTTTGTTGAGTAAAAATATTTAAAATGTGATTTTATAAATGGAGTAAAGTAAGTTATGTAAAAAATAACCATCATTAAAATAATAATAATAATAATTATGATAATAATAATAAATTTTCCAATTCCCATGCATATGTGAATGTATTTAAGAGTGCAAACACTTGGTTCTATTCTTATCGTCTCAGCTATCCTAAGATAAATATATATTTTTATCTACGCGTGTGTAGAGAAAATGGCACAATAATAGAATCAGATGAATAAAAATGATATATATATATATATATATTAAAGTCATTTCACTTTGAAATTTAAACATTAAGTTCGCGTAAAGAAAACGACATATAATAATAGAAATCTTTCTATTCTCAACCCATTATTGAAGCCAACATGGAAAAGAAATCATTAATGGTGACAAACTATTTTTTAGTCGGTATCCACATTTTTCTTTGGTCAAGCCTGCTCTAGTACCATATCTTGGAAAAAAATGACACAATAATATACTTTAATAAATTTCGCGCATGTTTGTATTTGTGCGTATTGTATGGAAAAAAAAATAAATCTTTAATAGACTCTATACTTTTAGCGAGATTTAAATGAGATCCTTGTTTATAGTTCAAACTATTAGAATGACAACCTAAAGTTTGTACTGTCATATCATTAATGCCTACCCAATCACTATATAAAAAACTATGAAAATAACTAAATTAGTTTGTTTTCGTCAGTGATATTCAGATTAACATATGGTTTTTGACATTAATAATTTATTTTTCTGTGACAAAAAAAATTGAGACCCAAAATTTAGATCTTGTTTGATTTTGTTCCCTTTTTTGTTTTTAAAAATTATCTTGTAAATTAAATTTTAAAAATTATTTTTGAAACCAAAAACTATGTAAATTAGAAAATAATTTGAATTAAAAAATCGGAAGATAATGGTGGTCACCAATGGGTAATGATAGTAGTTAACTATAGCTGATAGCAGCATTCAGTAATCAATTGTGCTGTAAACATAAAATTGAAAACAAAAATAATTCTAAGATCTTTCATTAAATAAAAAAACAAAAGATGAGAACAGTTTTGCAAACATTTAAATCTAAAACACTCATCCAAACAAATTGTTTTTATATTTTTATTTTAAAAGCGGTTTTTAAAGATAGAAATCAAACAAGCCATAATTTGTTTTTTTATAAATTTATTTTAAGTAGGGAGAGAGCAAATCGAAGTGCTCAAGAGTTAAGTCCAAAAGAAAAAGTAGTTGACGCAATCCAAATGGTTCATATATTTTTTTCTTCTTAAATTTTCCAATTATTTAAACAATTTCTTCTTCTTATATATCTATATATATTATATAAGATATTAAAATAACATTTTCCTTCGATTAATATCTCCCTATCAAATTCATTTTTTATTTCCAATAACAAATTGAAGAATATGCCAATAATGTCTCTTCATTTTCTAACTTCTTTGCAGGCCCCACCACCTTAGATTAATTATAACTAGTGGCCACTGATTGATACAAAAGTAGACAAGGGATATTACTTGAGCCGATAAATTTCTACCATTAACATCATAATCAACAGTTTTAGTTTAAATGCATATAACTAATCATCCGTCCTATTTAAAAGTTGTGCTTATGAATTCCTAAGCGTGTATATATATAGTACAACCTTCTCCTCCAACTACTTCATCAATCTAAGAAGCCCTCAACCTATCCAACATGGCAAATCTTTCATTTCATTTCACTATCCCCTTTCTCTTGTTTTCCCTACTTTGTTTTCATTTCACTTTATGCTTCACCAATTTAACTACATATGATGAATTGGCACTACTTGCCTTGAAGTTTTCTGTTAAGGACCCTTACAATTACTTGGTTAATTGGTCCAACTCTTCTTCCATTTGCAATTGGGTTGGGGTTATGTGTGATGCTCACCATGAGAAAGTAATAGCTTTGAATCTTGGTGAGATGGGTCTCAAGGGAACTTTGCCCTCAAAAATTGGGAATTTGTCTTTCTTGGTTGAACTTGACCTTCATAGTAACAACCTTTATGGTGAGTTGCCAAAAGAGTTGATCCAATTACACAAGCTACAAATTCTCAACTTGAGCTACAATGAATTCAAGGGAGAAATTCCAACTTGGATTGGAAGCTTATTCATGCTTCAACACTTCCATCTCTGTAACAATAGTTTTGGAGGTGTTATTCCTAAGAGCATATCCAATTTGTCAAAGTTAGAGACTTTGAACTGGAATGATAACTTTATTGAAGGATTCATTCCATTTGAGATTGGAAAACTTCAATGTTTGAAGATTTTACGGATTGCGGTAAACAAGCTTTCAGGAAGAATACCTCCAACCATTTCCAACTTATTCTCACATGAGTTGTTGTCTTTGTCTTGCAGCTTTTTAACAGGTATGTCTTGCGTAATGTGTTATTAGCATTTCTTCTATTTTACAATGATTATAAATTTTTTTTTTCTATTTGGAAATCCTTTTGCTTAATTTTAATGTGGATTTATGTGAGCCTTATTATCAAGCTCAGTTGATCTTCTTTAATTTGTTGTAAAATGTTCACTTATATTTGTTAGAATAAATTCATCAACAAACTTTTGTTAATTATCATTTTACATAACCCTCCTAGCTTTACGAGTATTCAAATTATCAAAGTTGGCACATTTTTTGCATTTCATGGAATCAGCTTTGGATCAGTATGTACTTCCTACATATTAAAATTAACTTCACCTAAGCAAAATAATACGTTTGATAATTATTTTACCATTAACTTTTTATGATATATTGGTGATAATAAAATATTCTTATTTCAGAAAGAGAAATTGATCAAATGTTCTTTGAAATCCTCTTTTGGTTAGTTAGATAATTTTATATTTTTTAAGTTATATACTTTTCAGAATTCTTTTTGCAGTTACGTTATAAATTATTACTTTCATAATACGACCTACTTTTTATAACATTACAAATTTGTGTCACAAATTAGCATGTGCTTGTTATAGGACATGTCTTAAGCATTCTTTTGTTTGTTTCCAAATCCCATTTTATGAAGAAAATCATAAGAAATTACTATCGAGAATGATGTATCTGATTGTGAAAAAGTTATTAAAAATTTTAGATCATCATGGTGGAGGAAAAATCTTCAAATGATTTCTGTGACTTTTTCCCTGTGCTATAAGCTGCATCGGTATTTATAATTGTGTACTCAATTGGTATGATTATAAATTTGTGCATTCGTGTAAAAAAAAAAAAAAAAGATCTGAAACAACTCAAATTGTCAATTCGACCGTCAATATCTCATTATTTTAATGTTATAAAAATCACTGATTTTCTCTTGTTTTTTTTATTAATAGAATGTCTATTTTTTTAGAACTAATTTGAGCTTCCATAGTCTGATTTCTTCTGTACAGCATGTACCCATAATATATTTTAAGGTTCCTATGCTCTTAAAAATTATTATATTGGGCACCAGTTGTTTAAATATATGCATATAACTAACTATTCAATTCTATCTAATTTCTGACCAAGCGCTTTTCTTTTTATTTTTTATTTTATTTTTATGTCATGTGGAAGGTGCCGCTTGAGTTATGTTGGGTGTGTCCCTTAGGCGCACTGTTCTTTCTTTTATTTATTTATTTACTAGGCATGATTTTTTTTAGTATGGGAAGGAAGTTATATTTTTTTCATAACATTAAATCATAAAATAACATTAATTTTTTCATTTGTTTCTATGCTCTTCTAACATTTCAATAAATAATTATAGTTTAGACATTGAATAACACGCATTTGATACTTTACTAATAAAATAAGACATTAACTATTATAAGTTCCTCTGTACATGTAATTAGTTTAGTCAGATTCAAATAAATTTACACAAAAGGCCTAAAGATACTGGTCCACAACAAAAATAATAAGGCATCGTCAGGAACAGCTAATGTTGTATTCCAAGAGATATTTGAGAATATTGAAATAGATTATGGTTATTTTTTGTTTCATACCTTATACAAAATTAATTATGATTATCCCATTCTCATTCATCATTTATTCAATTGGTTGCAAATAAATGCAATCCAACTAAATACTGCACTTAGTGAAAAAATAATAATAACACATGAACGTTATTAATTTCGAATGCATAGTATGTAACAATAACAATGCTCTATAGTATAGTTTATCATACAAGAAAGTAACTTTGAAGACATGCATAAACTAATGATGTACGAGCAGGACACAAGTTCAAATAATGAACTAATATTGTCTCACTATTTCTCTCAATTTGGGTGCTGAAAGTGTTTTGACTAATTTTATTCGTCTCAATAATTAATCTACTATAGCCTCATTTAATCATAGTATATATGATGAAAAATATCTTCCTTTCTTAATATATTTGGCCCTATTATATTGCAAAGACTTCGGACAAAACTCTTCGCATATGAGGATTCGATTGGTCACACTAAACACAGTTCAAACTAATGGATACATATCGAGATACATCAATTTCCTATTTCCTTCTTTTTCCTATTGGGTTCAAGAGTTTTGTCTTCTTTATTGCTTATTTTTATTTGATTATGATATTTTTACTATACATGGACTCTAAAAAAAAAAAATCAGTCTATTTTAGCAGACACTGCAGGTTTAATTTATTGCAAAAGACAATAGTCAAATTTGGAACTAATAAAAGTATCATAGTTCTATCAAAAAATGTTTTCTACCATTTAAGATCAACTATTTTTTGAATTTTCAAAGTTGGTCTCTTTATGCTCATACTTTACGGTCTAATAGCATATCTTACAATTTTTTCAATGACCACATCCTAGTAGATATTCTCAATATAATTAGTAATTTGGCAAATCTGAACATAATATTAAGTGATAATCAGCTTTGCAATTGCACACCAAAAGCGATTGAAAATTTGATTATGCCTCAAGGGTTCGAACTTCAAGGCAATGACTAATTATTAATTTTGTTGATAACACTAAACATTATTATTTGATTGTATGATATAATTAGGATAATTAAATCTATTTATTTACGATAGATAAATTAATCAAATTTATTTCTGTGTTGTATTTCTTTGAGCTTTGTTATACCTTATTATGTCACGAGCTGCTATATAAATGATAAATATTTCATAACATGACATTAAAAAGCTTATTCTAAATATGCATGTGAGAGAGAGAGAGAGAGAGTTTATTTTTATATAAAGTAAGAAAATTTATTTCATTTTGAAAGCTTCTTATTTTTTTAGGAATTATAAAAGTTGTTATTAGTTAATTTTTTTATTATTTACCTTTTTCTCAAAACTTAATTGTTTTTACAAATACCTCGAAGCAATTTTAATGAAAAAATTAATTAGTTGACCCATATAGTTCCATCCAGTTTGTGACTTATTTTTTTATAATTTAAATCGTCTTGACTCAGTTCTTATACTTTCTTTTGTCTTCTCCATTCATCCCTTTCAAAAAGTAACTAAGTCCTTGGTAACTCATCCTATGTGGCACCTATGGTTTGTATTCTTTATACAAAAGACTTAATCCGATCAATAGCAAGAGTGCTGTGTGACTGATGATTTTTCTCCCTTCTTTCTTTCCTTGGGCCAACAATTTGTTGTGCTAAAGTAAATCCCCCTACTCTCACCGAAGGAAGAGGTAGTTAACAGTGTTGCATTGCTTAGTTGGCAGTCTTATTATTAGTGCCACATTAGATAAAATAAAATGAGAATGATATTCTATTAAAAAATGTAAACTAAATAAATATTGCTAGCCAAAGACAAAATACGAAAGGCAAATTAGACACCGGAACCTATTTGTTTCCTATAATTATTTTGGTCATTTTCTGTAATTATCTACGTCTTTTTTTTGATAATTTTTAGGTCATTTTGTATAATATTTTTAGTCAATTAATGATTAAATTAACAAATATTTAATGGCGTAATGACATTGCTTCACTTTTAAAGTATGGAGGCAACGTTGAGCCCCTTTGATTTGAGGGTGTCCAATGAGTACCTAAAATAATTGAGGGTAAATTAACACTTTAACTCTTCAAAAAACACAGCACATTGATTAGCACTAAAAACTTGTCAACAACAACTTCTCTCTGTCTCTCTCTTTGCTTCCTTTGTTTGGGATGTTAGATTTTTTTTTTTTTTCAATGAAGGGATGCCAGTTTAAATAATGAACAATATATAATATATGGCTTTACATATAATTAATTTTGTGCACATACAATATATATTTTCAAATAGCATATTATTGTACATTTTTTTTATTAAACTACATCACTCCTCTTGATGTCTAGGCCAAAGTCATCCAGTCAAAATTGAAAACTAGCTCTTAGTTTTTATTAAACCGATAAAACTCCATACCCCAGGCACAAATAAAGTCACCAAAAGTAGTCAAAGACTAGTAAATCAGTAAACAACCTGTAAAATTAGTAAAAACCTGACCAGTTCCCATAAAGAAACAGATAAAAATAAAAAATGCATGTTAACTTCTTCTTTTTTTTAAAAAAAAAAAAAGAGGCGCAACTGTAAATTTTTTGAAACTTGGGGGCAAAGAGCTGCGGTTTTCTTAAAACCTTCTCAACCCCACATGTGAACCCAGCGTCTCGATTGACTCACCACCTAATATTTTCAGACGATCAATGCAGGACTTTCACCAATCACTTTTTCTATTATTATCCCGGTCCAGAGGCATCAGAGATTCACTTCTTTTTTTTTTTTCCTCTCTCTCTCTCTCTTCGATCTTCACTAATTTTTTGGCTACACTCATAGTATCTATTGAGTCAAGGTAATATCAAGCTTTTATTTATATTTTTCCTCGGGTTTAATCTTTTAAGTTTAGTTTTTATATAATTTGTAAAACTACTTCATGCATTGTCATTTTTTATATATATAACAAGTATGGACTCATAAATATTATACATATTTGTACTAACTGTGGTATATTATAAGATTATGTACTAAACTAAAAAGAGGGCAACTTATTACTCATTATTTTCTTTTTAATTTATTTATTTTTATCCTTTTATAAATTCACAGTTTTTCATTTTAATAGCAACCAGTCTAACCATGATTCAATCAATAAACAGTGAATGTGCCTCAATCAATTTAATGACTGGTCTAGTTTTTAAAACTTTGCTCTCTTATAACATGGTATAATGAAATATATACAACAACAATAATAATAACCTACAAGTCTTATATCACTAGGAGGGGTTACCATTATACAACTTAACAATATTATTTTTAAAAGAAAAATTAATAAAATATCCTTCAAATATTTTAACAGTTATAGTCTTTTAGATGTCATAATTTTACTGAACAATTATTTAATTAAGGACATTGAATATAGTTAAAAAATTCACGGTAAGTGAAAATTTTAAATGAAAGTTTATCTTTTTCTTTATGTCTTCAACATTTATTTATCTAGATATATATACACTATATATTGTGTAAAAGGTCAACGCAATGTGTTTGTCTTGTAATTCGGGTTATGATTTGTTAAGATATTTAATGGTATTGAACAGTGTGGTTTCGTTGTTTTGATGTCTAATATTTAATTTTTTTTTTCCCAGTGCACGTTATGGGATGGATTTATATGTAGTTATTGTAAATTCGATTAGGCATATGTCTAAAATTAAAGACAAAGGTTCCATTTTGATTTTATGTATTCCTTAATAATCTCATAAAGTTATATTGTATCATTTTAATACATTGTCTGAAACTTTAAAATTGCAAAATCATCTCATATAATTGGATTTAATTTGTTTTTATTACATAACAAGATGCAGTGGAAACTTGATTTTGCTTAATTAAAAACAATTAGATCTTGGTCACATTAACTATTTCAGGAAAAATAGTTCCAGCTATTTCTAGCTTATTCTCACTTGAATTGATATCATACAACTCCTTAATAGGTGTGTCTTTAATAATATCAAATAAATTCATATATTTGCTCTAAATCATTTCAAAAATTTTAATACGTGTTTAGAATGTCTTAGAATAAGCTATTTACAATATCATATTCAACGTTGATTTTGTTGGAGAGGGGAATGAGATATATATATATATATATATTACGTTGAGTAGGGTGCAATAAATGAATCTACAAATTATATATAATTTTAATTTGTTGTGATATTGGTAACTCCGTCATTATGCTTTCAATACAACATAGTGCATTATCATCATTTAGCATTCTCTACACTGCCAGGAACAAATATTTTGCATGCTTTTTGTTAGTTTTTGTCATTTTCATTTGGGTTCTTGGAGCCATAATGCAAGAGATATTTTTTTAATGGTTTTTAAATTTATATGATTTTTTATACAACATATGTTGTCCATGATCATCTCCATAAAGTTATATTGTATTTCTATGATTTTATATAATATATATACAAGCACTCATATTACTGTTTTTATTTGTTATTGCAATAATGCAGGAGATATTCCGAATGAGATTGCCAATCTTACAAATCTTAAAATTATGTACTTGGGTCGAAATCAACTCATTGGCTACATACCTAGAAGCATTGGAAGTTCGGTTTCGCTTCAGGAATTACAGCTTGGTTCCAATAATTTACAAGGTATAATTTTTATGCAAATTATAAGTCACTATAGATTTTTTCTTTTTTCTTACTTCTTGTCTCTTGCAACTTGAAATTATGAACTTAGATGCTAATAGGTTTCGTCGAAATGCTATTAATTGTATATCCCAAAATGTATAAGTTAAGAATAAACTTTCTTTTTCTGACAAAACAAAAATTGGATTATATTTTTATACATAATTTGTAATATTTTATAATATCATTGAGAACTCAACCTGTTACAAAGATTTTAAATATAACAGGGGATAATTTCAGTTAGGTCCCTTGTAAGGAAACTTTCATTAAATTTCAAAGGACTTTTTTTTTTCCCAACTGCTGATATATTCCTAAGGCAAATAAACTGGCACAGTACAACTGAAATCGCAAACAGCAACAGAGCAAAAACAGAATCAGCAACAACATAAGAGAGATCAGCCAAATAATTTTAACTAGTAGATTAGACAAAAGAAGTGATGGTGAAGACACCCATCCTATGAGAACCAGCAACAATATGCTTGATTTTTAATTTCAAAGGACTTTAATGAAATTAAAAATCAAGCATATTTACTAAATCCAATTTTAATAAAGCCTATGTCTTTTTTTTTTTAATTTCCCACCCTAATATCTCTTCAAATACAAAACAAAAATGACACTGTAATTTAGGTAATAGAAGCAAAAGCCCGTCACCAAATCTATCATTCATAGATGCAGCTTTTAAACATATATATCAACAGTTGTAGTATTGTACTTTTTATTTTGTTATATTGATACACATACATAATTATATAAAAAGTTAGTTTATAACTTTTAAAATTTTTTTGATAATTCTATTGTCACAATTGTAGTCTTACCTTTTTTTTTTTTTAAGGTTCTACTTACTATAACCCCCATAAATCTCAATGACATAATATGTTTAGATTAAATATTTTAAACTATATCATATTTTATAATTAAATTTTAGGTTAGATATTTAGATTAAATATTTTAAAGTATACCACATTTTTACATATCCAAACTATTTACTCTTTTTGGTTTTTTTTTTTGGTACTAGACCATCCAATATCTTGGGGTATCCTAGGTTCATTGTTCGCTCTAGACTAATCTAGATCCACACTTAATTACAACAATTTTAAGGGATGAACGGCCCATTTCTTTTAGCTTATTTTATAAAAAAATCACTTTTTTAGAAAAAATTGTGATTTTAACAATGTTTGTTTAAGTTTTTGAAAATAATTATAATAGAAAGTAAATTTTTTTATTATTTTAAGTAACTACTTCGAGAGAGAATGTTTTAAAAATGTGGGATACAAGAAGATATACTAAGATTTTAAAATAATTAAATAATAAATTATTTTTATAAAACAGAATAAAGAATTTAAAAATAACTAAATAATAATTATACTTTATTATTGTAACCAAATATAAAATACTTTTTATAAAATTTTTACAGAATAATTATTTTATAAAATCCTTAAAATTATCTAATAATGACTTATTTTTTAATCTTTAACAAATGGACCCAAAAAAAACAAAGAGTATATAATGTTAATACGTAAACAGAAAGTAAAATTTGGATGGATCCAACGTCTAATTCAAAGTTGGTTTATTCAATTTTGTTACTTATCAATGACAGTCAATTTTGCTCTTATTGGCTATAAACATCATTAGAATTTTAATTAAGAGGAATAAGCGGGTAAGAAATCAAATTCTGATTGGGATTTATAGAATGAGTAGAGTGGCAGCATGGCATATCTTGGGCTTTATTTGAACAAAAATGAATCTTTGGTATAAAATACCAAAAGAACAAGTTCAAGCTATATCATACATGGATCCGCCACTAAAATAAATCAAACATCTTACGAATGATCTTAAAATGTGTAACCAATTTATCCAGCTAATAGCTTTTCACTCGCAAGAATTTTTTAGATGGCATGGAAAAAAAAAACATTTTCTGAAGATAACCAAATCATTAAGCTATCTCCATCATTTTGAATTGGGGCTGAAATGAGAATCAAAGATAGACGAGAGATTTTTTTTAAAAAAATATAGATATATAACAAATTATGGTATATATTTCATTTTCCATTTTAAAATTTTATTATATATATTTTTAAAAGTAATTTACTAATTTAGGATTTGAGAGGAATGTTATTAGATAATTGAAGGTGTATAATAATATAAAACTTACAAATATCTTGTTGGATGATTTGTAAGTACATCTAAAAGTAATTTTTGAAGGAGACCTGTCCTAACCTTGGTGAACCCCCAGACCCAACTCACCTAAGCTTTCTAAAAGCAAATATAAAACTTATAACTACAAATATATAAAAATATTAACAACATATTAACTTGGGAAAATAACTATAAAATCTCATCGAAATTTAAAAAAAAAATCAGGTCTCACACAATGGCATAATTCCTTTGAAATTTCTAGGAACTTTTCTGGCATTAATGATTTCTGTTTAGCTGTAAAAGATTTATAAACTTTATATGATATAATTTTTGGCGGTGATGAAATCTATTTAGCTATTTAAAAAAAAAAAAAAAATAGTTTACTCTTCTTATGGGTAAAATATGTTGCATATATCCAAAACACATTTTTTCCGTGTTATTGATTTTTTTTTAAAGATTTAGCTTTCCAACTTCTTGTCCTCCTCTTCGGGTATTCAAATTATTAAAGTTAGCTCATTTTGTGTGTTGATGAAAACAGCTTTGCAAACGTTTGCTTCCTTGTTCAAATAAAATTCCCTTGAGAAAATTAATGTTTCATAATTCTGTCACTGTTATTTTTCAATGACATATTGTTGATAATATTTTTTTTTAAATTGGTTAAGATAAAATAATCCAATGTTCTTTGTCATCCTCTTTTAGCTAGCTAGACAATTTGTCACTATAGATGACTTATAGAATTTCTTTTGTAGTTACGTTAAAACCACGTAAAATTTTTTAAACAATTACTGCACAATATGTTGCTTATAATTTGCATGTGTTGTTAGACTTGTTAAAAAGATTCATCATATATGGACGCTCGTAGGATTAATATGCCATCTTTTTTTGTGTCTCTATGACATACGTGGGAAATATTATCAATAGATATACCTGTGACCAATTCAAATTCAATATCTTTGAGCGTTAAATTTTTTTTTTAGGTGATATACCAGAAGATATTGGACAATTGGACATGCTTCAAGTGCTAGGTCTTGAACGTAATAATTTACAAGGTAACTTTTTCATCAAATTATGACATTCTGGGTACTATAGTTTTTTTCCTCTCTTTAGTTGTTTTCTTTGTATTACTATGAACAACCATGCATTTTCTTTTCCTACTTCATCTTTTTTTTTTTTTAATAAATTTGTGTATGTATTAACTTTTAACAAACGTCTGTCAAATGGGGGCCTAAAGTACAATTTTTTCTAAATGAATTTGCTGGATGTTTGTTAAAAGTTAACGATAGCCGCAAAATTGCCCCCACTTTTATTTTTTAGAGTTTAAAATGCATCTTTTTAAAGTTTAGGGTTTAAATTGCCCCTAGACCTACAATTCAAGGTCCAAATTGCATATTAACCCTTAATTTTATTATAACATTATATGTTACATCTAATTTTTAAGATGTGACATCAACTGCCTTCATAAAATCTATAGTTCTTCACATACACAAACATCATGTTTTTTACTAGTCTATAATTAGAAATTTTATTTGCAATTTCCTTGAGCTAATCAAAAGAAAACCTTCAAAGATTGGAAGAAAAATTTATTTCCTTAAAATGTTGTAAGGATGGTGCAGCTCCTTAATTAGAGTTTTTGGTAAAGTCGCTTCACAGACACAGCATGTCTTAGACCCACATACCTCTGTATTCATCCATGAGCAACTGGATAGATAAATGAAGAGCAGCACAACACATGGTAGATGATATGTTTTAGAGCGCGTGGATTGAACTGGAGTTTGTAGCCCACAGAGTTGAGATGAGATATGGCTTGGTTGAACGGCAGAGTCGTAGGAAAAGAGGGACGAAGGTGAACATGGAGGAAAATGCAATGGTGATGACTACATTGACCAAGAATGCAAGATGCTAGCTTTAGATCTGCTGAATCATGATGACTCCATTTATAGATATGTTGATTCACGTTGATGTAAGAGACACATAAAGCTGGAACTTGGGTGTTGAATCATGTGTTTTGATGATTACAAAACCAAGAGAAAAGAAAATTATTGTGTATGCATATATATATATATAATCATGGATGAAGGTAAAACCTCAAGAGCATGAAGAATCAAGAGAAGATGAAGTCCTTTAGGATAAGTTATTTAAATTCTCTTAGATTCAATGTGAAAATTTTGAGAGCTTAATCACTTTTTATAATCATTAAAATGAATGCATTATTTGTCTCATTTATATGCATTAAGACTCATCTAAGTATATTCAAGCTTGCAAGTGATGTCTTTCTAACGTCTTAAAAATTATTGTTGATGAATTCAGTGTGAGTTGTAGAATCATGTGTGATTCAGCTTAGTCACTCATGAGAAACTACAGGTTGGTCACATTGAATGATGAATCACGTAAGAGTCAGGAACTAATTCATATGTGATTTATCACTCGTGTGATATGATGCCTTAAGCCTTGCTTTGGTATGCAAAATCACACGTGAGAGACATTATGATCCATACAAGTTTTAGTAACTGTGCTTCATTACATTGTGTCAAAGACAATTTCAAGTGTGAGGACTGATGGTAGCCACACATGATTTGTCACTTGTTATATAATCACATATTGCTATATTAAGACTTAAGTCACCTCAAGCTGAGGTTACCTTGTTCAAATGTATGATCCCTGATTCATTTGTTCTTATCTCTTGATCATGCATATTTGTTACGCCCTAAAATTTAAGTGTGACTAACTTAAGATATGCATAGAAACACATATCCCTTAGCCTTAATACCAGCTACTATATTTTAATTACAACACTATCATGGTAATGAGTAGGGCTCTTGATTTTATTTTATTTTATTTATACCAAAACGTCATAAATTTTCCTTAGAAACTTAATATAGAGTCCTAAAAATTTTCTATAACAACAACATCAGCAAAAACAACAATAATGAGTTTTACTCTTATCAATAGACAAACAAATAATTAATCAATACAAGGATCCTAAGTATAGTCTATATGAAGCATTTAGAACAACATTTACAAATAACATAGTATAATACATAAGTTAAAATTTGACAACAAATATAAATTTAATCAAATTACTGCTTTAACCTCAATTCAAAAATATATCCTTCATTGATCCCCTAGAGGTACTTAGCTATTTACAATATCTGAGGCTAAAAACTTTTTTAGTGAATAATGTCACAATAATGAAATCAAAGATTCAAGATAAAAAAATTCATCAAATAGATTGGTGCATAATTAAAAGAGAACATCAATATGATATAATAATTGAGCTTGGAAATTACAAGTTCTATGTAGCTTCAAAAATACTGAGCCAATAAATTTATAGTGACAAAACCTTAACACTTGATCTTATAAAATAAAGTAAATAGAAATAATAATATTCACTGTTTAAATTTGATAAAGTGTATATAAATATATATTCACAAATCCATTAAATCTGAGGACTTTACAGAATAGGTAACAAATGAGGATACACAATCCATGAGGGTAAATAACCAAACGTAGCTTACGCCATGAAAACAAGTATGGATACATAGTCTACGAGGGTAAGTAACCATACATGGTCGAAGCCACGAAATAGAAGTGGACACACAGTCCAGAAAGGTAACTAACTAAATGTGGTCAAAGCCACAAAACAAGTATAGGTATGAGACCCACGAATAACAGACATGAGAACAGAGCTCACAAAAATCAAACTAGCTAGTCATTGACTAATGCGTACTAAGGGTTAACGAAACTGCTATTAGCAATCAATGCTCTGCATATAGTCCTCTAAAAAAAATCACTTTTTCAAACATGCAAGAAATTAATCATTTTCAAAATAAAATATTATGCTCTCAGTATCAAACTCGCATGACCCTTTCAAAACCTTAATTCTTCTCAATATAAAATTCTTTACAAATTCCACATTTGCCTTTATCAATATATATATATATATAATGGTAGTAAAACTTTTCATGAGCCTTCAAGATATATTTTATAATAAATATATATAGATATGTTATAATTCCATTATTTTTCACCATATAAATCACAATTGCAAGAGTTTAAAGAAATAATTAACAAAATATTATACACTTGAAATAGTATATGAAATCTACTTAAGAAAAGTAATATTTCAATAAAAGAAACTTGTTAGTAAATTTATTGGAATGTTATCCACCCACCTATGGCAATCCCAACATTGTAATTTACCCCTTAGTATTCCTCACAACAAGGTTTATTCCTGAAACATCCAATATAATAATTGAACATCTAAATTTTTATAACACTCATAATCATTCGCTCCCTCAATTATTATCACATTGCTCTTGAACATTAATCTTTTAGTTCTCATTCCATCAAACATCTTATATGCATTCTAAAATCAAATCATACACGGTTACAAAAAGTTATGAATTACCAACCATACAATCCTTAAGCATCAACAAGTCCTTTATAAAGTTTCCTTGAATCAATTTGATAAGAAAAATTGATTTCCTATAAGAGAAAAACATGATTCTAAATTTAAATTTTAGTCCTTAACATGACCATAATCCATCTAAGTAATTCAAAGCTGCTCCAAACATCAACTTTTATATCATAGTTTCTCCATAATACTTTGGCCATAGCTAATTATTCCATTAGAACATAATTATCTTTCAAATCTTATATCAAACACCTTGTGTGCATGACTACTAAAGAATTTGATAAAATTGTTTTAGTTTCAATCTCTTAAGCAACAAATTCCATGCATCCATAATTAAATTTGTCAAGCTTTCCCAATCTAATTCCTCATTAAAATTCAATTTAAGTTCATAAAAAAATCAAATCAAAACACATGGCAGTTGAACAAGCAGACAAGGAAGACCACTATATATATACTATATATATCTATACCTATATTCCATACATAATCATCAGAGGCAAAAGGAAGGTGGGCTTCCACGTACCAATCACAGGTAATACCAACGGAGAAGGAAGAGGGGGAGTTTGGTGCTGCTGATGCCAATCAAAGATGAAGGGAAAAAGAAACTGACAACATCTCCACAACAAAATGCTGTAATGATAGCACCAGGTAGATGTATGGGCTGCGCAAGAAAAATGAAGGGAAAAACTGGATCTATGGCAACTCACCAAACCAAGAAGAGACGAAGAAGGAGTAGACGTCGTCGAACAGGGAGGGAACAGGGGAAGAATATGTTAGCAACATAAACAATAGAGGAAGAAGGATCTAGTGCATAGGATAGAGATCTCCAATAATGACAACCTGAGCTTCTCCACGACATGCTGGCAATGATTGAAAGATGAAGGAGATGAAGAATGTTCTTGAAGCTTCTGTAATGACTCTAAATTTTAAATTAAATAAATTTCCTTCCAATTGATAATTAATTAGTTTCAATTTTATGATAAAGAAGAGCTATGATATATTAGAATTTATACTACATATTTATATGAAGGTTTAGAGTTCAAATTTTACTTTAGTCAAATGTTATTTTATTTTTATTTTTATGGAAAAAGTACCAAAGAGTCCTTACTATTTATTATAGAAATATTATAAAAAAATTGAAAAAAAATAAAAAATAAAATTGATAGGGTCTTCTTTTAAAATTTTCTCAATAATTTTGGGTCCTGTTTTGTAAATTTCTCCACAAGTTATTATTTGATTTTTAGCACCTTCTTAGTCGGTGTATCAGGCAGAAGAGAGAGGAAGAGCTCGTGATTTATTTTATTTTATTTTCCTCTCTTTGTTTTTCGATGGTGTTCTAAGACCAGAGAACTCTGGAAAACTCTACCATTTTCTGTCTTCTCCTTCTCCCCTGCCATCTCTAACTATTGAGGTGTGTGAGTGAGAGAGAGAGTTTCGGCCATCGTTGCATAGGCGTCGAGTTACCGTCTCTCCTCCTTTTCTTTCTCTTCAATCTCATTTTGAACTGCTGAGAGGGCCAGAGATCAAAACTTTGGACATGTTTATCGTGTGCTCTCCGACTCTGCTTCTCTCTACTAGCTTACCCTTGCCATCGGCGAAGTGGGAGCTTGTTACTCTTGTGCGATGCCAGGCCCTCAGACGTGCTCTCTGTTTTTGTCTTCCTCAACCGCTACTATCCTCGTCGTTCTTGTTCGCGCCTTGCTATGAACGTCTGTGTGCCGCTGCATTCTTTTTCATCCTCTCTCATCTGTACGTTGCTAATGTTTGTGTGAAGCGAAATATCTTTTGCTGTTGAAGGCCGCCAAATTTCCACATCTTCCCCTGTTCGTATTGTCTCTGTTTTGGTGAAGGAGTGAGAGCACGAGGAGAGAGAGGGCATCTGTTTTTTTGTTTCACCATTTCCTTTTCATTTCTGACTTGCTTCTTTGATTCTTACGTCGGTGTGCGTCCTGGGTCTTCACCATAGATTTTTCATCTATGCTGTCAACTTGAAGTGCTGAGCCGCATGGTTTCTGTTCTCCTCTACTTTCCTATTTGCTGGTTGTGTGAGCTCGTGTTGTGCTTGTGTTCTCAGCCTTTAATTTCCTTTTTCTTCTCAACATGGGTGTCGAGTATGTGTGTGTGGTAAGTTCAACTTCTATTATTCTTTATTGTTGTTGGTTGTTCAAACTTCAATCCTAAACTTCATTGATTATCGGTCATTCTCCCCTGTTTTTGGTGTCACACTGCTGTGCTCATGGTTTAAATTCTCATATGCTCCATAGATGGGTGAATACCACTGTGTTTTTTTTTTCTCAGCCAGTCTGCACATACATATTGAAGTGGATAGAAAATTTATTTATTTATTTATTTTCAATTTGCTCTATGGCTGTGCATGAGTAAGGATAGGAATAGTGTTGAAGTAAGTTTGAATTGAGGATTAGGAAGCTTATTTTGAATGGCAATCATGCTTTAAGCAACTTGTTATTGTAAGGGAGAAATCTTAATTA